CGCGTTACCATCTACTTCCAGCTCAACTCTGGCTGTAGGCACGCTGTCAACAGCCCCATTGGCCAGTCTGACTTTAATGGCATCTTCTGTGTATGCCTTCCTCGGCACCAATGTCTTGTTGACAAAGGTCCTGGAGCTCCCAGTGTCCCTGTACACCTGTACTTGCTGGCCGTTCACAGCTCCAGTGCTGCTGTACTTGCTATCTTCCGCCAAGTTTCCATCCGCGTCCCAGGGCTTGTCTGCTCCCTGCGCGAACATACTCTGTGCCACCACATTCTTCTTGGAGAACCCTTTCCCCAAACTAGGGCAATCAGCTTTCACGTGCCCTGTTTCACGACAGTGGTAACAGGTCTTACGGAAGCCTCCCCCAGGCTCCCCGGAGCCACCTTGACCGCTCTTCCGGCCAGGCTCGCCCTCAGATCTTGATGAGTTGCGTGGACGGACACCTTCAGCCAGGCTCGTCTCGTGAGCCGTCAGATACTGGTCGCTCATCCTCCCCATTTCCTCCAAGGACTTTGGTTTCCTCTCTCGTAGGTGGATTGACAGATCTAAGGGGCACAGATCAAGGAATTGTTCCTGGACGACCAGATCACAGATTCCCTCATACGTCTTGGGGGTGCTAGACAGCTCGATCCACCTGTTCAGGTAACTGCTGAGACGTACAATGTACTGGTCCGGCACTTCCCCCTCCTGGGGAACTTCAGACCTGAACTTTTTCTTGAAACCGTCTTCGGTAAGTTCATACCTCTTAAGAATGGCTTCCTTCACCTTAACATAGTCCTGGGCATCGTCATCAGATAGCCTGCTGTACACATCCAGCGCCCTCCCCGTGAGTAGGGCACTCAGTAGAGACGCCCACGTGTCTTCCGCCCAGTGGTTGGCACGGGCAAACCTCTCAAACCTCAAGAGGTACCCATCTATTTCTTCGCCTTCCATGAAGCTGGGTAGTCTCGGCGTCTTAGCCTTGACGTCTCCTGCAGCATGCCCACCACCAGCCCAGCCGCCTGCTGCACCTGCGGGGAGGCCGCCACCTGCGGCACCGGCTGCGAAACCGGCTGCGACTGGCTAACCACCATGGGCTGCGGGATACGCGAGTGATCTTTCCCCGACGAGGGTCTCATCTGCTGGGGCTGTAGGGGAGGCTGCATGTGCGACTGTTGCCCAGACCTCTGCAGCTGGTAGATGGCCATGTGCTGAGGTCTGTGGTTATGGTCCCGCCCTGACCTCCCCTCTCTGTCCCTACGTCTGTCCCTGTCCCTGTGTCTGTCCCTGTCTCGGTCCCCTCGCCCTTCCCGTTGGCGTTCCTTCTCCACGCGATGTCTCTCCAGCCGCTCCTGCTGCCGCTGCATCTCACGCTGCCGCTCGTGCTCAATCAAATGATAGTTCTTACAGTTCAGTACATGAATCCTTTAAGACAGTCCCGCTGCTCACTCCTCCTCGAGTCGTCAATCTCTGGAAAGCGTCCATACAACACTGCTGGGCTCCACAGCGTCCCGTCTTCTCCTGGAATTCCCTCCTGGACTCTCTTCTTGCTTCCACCGCTTCCACTGACCGCCCCGTGAAGCACCAATCCGCGATCTTTGCCGTTGTATCCACACAAAGTCCGCTGGTCTCCGCTGGTCACAGCCTTATTCTCTGGCTCCCACGTGCACTGATTCTGTCCGGGTCCTGTGGACGTCCAGCTTCCGACTTTGCACGATCAACACAAAGTCCACTGATCTCTGCTGGTTACAACCTCCTCTGGTGTTTCCTGACCAACTGTCCTGCCGACAACGCCAATGTTACAGGTTCCTCCTAAATCTCCAAGAACAGTTGGACACACACCAAAGTCAAAGTTCCACAGCCTTTATTTTCCACACCCTTGCTCCAGGGCTCCCTTCTCAGAATGCCCCCCTATGCTCCCCTGGAGCGTTCCATTGGGGATATGGGGGTGTTCCAAACTAACTTCCCTACGATACATAACAATGAGACCTAGAAATGATTAGATTTTCGGCCCCCTGGCGGCTTACCTAGGTACCGCAGCAGAACTTCCGGTTTTGATATCTCGTGATCTGGACATGCTAGGGTCACGAATTTTGAAGGGCAGATAGCTCTTGGGATAGGGAAGAAGTGACATGAGTTCGTTTCCCCTAGCGGCTTGTTCTGGGACTGCAGGAGCATTTGTTGAAAATTTTTGAAGGAGGATAACTCAAGAACCGGTTGACGAATTGTCGTGATTTTTGGTATGTAGGTAGTTGAAGTGATGCTTGACATGGTCAAACAACAATTATGCAAATCAGGAGCTAATTTGCATAATTAATGAGGAAATTCTATAAATCTTCTTTGTTTTGTTGTTAATAGAACTATGAAACACTTGTGACATCACTTGTGAGAACGAGAAAAAACATCGGAGGATATAGATTATGTAAATGAGGACCTAATTTGCATAATGAATTTTTTTTGCATAGTAAATTTTTATAATTTTATAGTTGTAACTGTTGGGAATTTCATAATTGCCACATTTGGAAGTTAAGTGAAGGTGAACATCAACAAACATAATTTATTCAAATCATGACCTCATTTGCATAATTCATGAGGAAGTGCTATAATAGCATTTTTGTTAAGATAAGGCTGTCATTGGGTGGAGAATATGATCAGCTGATATAATCCATGCAAATGGGGCTCTTATTTACAAAATCAATTATTAAAATTGTATAATTTGTCAACCACAAGGGTTAACATCATTTGGCGAAGGTATAAGATCGTGGAACTCTTGTCTTCAGGCATTTTTTACTTCAGAAGTTTTTCTTCTTCAGAATCCACTAACTTTGACCAGACTAGACAATGTACCATACCAACAACCAATTATTATGTTGAAATATTTGTACTTAATTAGGCTTGATTTTCTATCTCTTAAGTTAGACAAATTTTCAACTCAAGTTGTAGGAGAAGGCTACAAACTGCATTTCAGAATGGTACGTATTAAAATGCAACAGCTTCTCCTGCGTGCGGCGTAGGGCGCAAAGTTAGAGACTAATATTGCACAATTGATTTTTCAACTTGTTCTACTTAAATAAACACAGCAATCAGCAAAGTCTAAAAAAAAATAAAAATAAAAATGAAATAAGATAATCTCTACCTACCGACCATAATTTTTTCAGGACCGAAACAGGAAACACAACATTTTTTTCCTTGGCCTTAGTATTCAAGTACTTTATTATAGGTTGATAACATTAATAGGATAATTTTACTTGGTATGATAATGTTTAACGACTTTTGGTTGAATGTGCTCCTGACTTTTTATAGTGGTGCGCCTAGATTTTTTCTGGTGCTCCTAACTTTTTGGGGTTAGGCGCACAGTGCTCCTAGGTCCAAAAGTTAGTCTGGAGCCCTGATATTAAACCGTTCCTGATAGAGACTATCCAGAACTGTGCCTGATCCTAATCGTAATCAGGCATAGAACCAGATGCGACGACTTTTGTCTTTTCTCTTAGACTCTGTTGTCGTGCCCCTACCTCTTGGTAGTAATCCAATAACGTGACTCCAAGCTGGAATACTTGAATCGGCTTGGTTTATTCTCTAGTCACGAACTCAGACCTTCTGTCTGGCTCGTCTCTTCTTGTCGTCTGACGCTACGCATGCGTGTTATTCTTTATGTTAAGTAAGCTGCTTAAACATTACCACATGTTACATCCCCTTTTCTTTAGTTACATTCTCTCAACGGATCTTTTCCGATCTTACACATTCACATATCTTTTGCCTTAGAGTTCTTTGGCATGTCAGTTCTTATGCACACTAGAGTCCTTGTGCTTTATGGTCTTCTCCAGGTTCTCTTCCTGTTAGTTCATTAGTTTGTTAGTTCAGTCCTCGAGTTCTACTTCAAAACTGCATGCATTACATAATCACTCGCTGACGTAATCCTTCAGGCGCGCACGTAATCCTTCAGGTGTACATGTGCTGGTGGTTGCACAACTCGGCCGGACCTCGTTGTCATCGGCTGTCCGTGTGCAGCTGCGTGTTCCACTGGCACTGTTGTCTCAGCTGCTGGTGTTGTTGGTGCTGGACATGGAGGGTTGTTTTCTTCCTCCACGGCGGTCATGTCTGGGGCTTCCTCGTTTGTTTTACGTAGGTGCCTCCTGTTTCTGCGGTAGCTGCCTCCGTCTTCTGTTCTTATCTCATATGATCGCTTCCCAACCTCCGCTACCACTGTTGCCTTCTTCCACTGTTTAGCGGTTGGGGTCATTGGTTGGCATCTTACTATGTCGCCAGCCTTGAGATCGGGCAAGTCTCTAGCTTGTCTGTCGTAGTACTTGCGCTGTCTCTTCTTTGCTTCTTGGAGTTTACTCGGAATGTCGCTCTGAACTCTCGGTTGGAGGAGGTTTGTCTTTATCGGCATGGTAGCTTTCGTCCTCCTGCTGAAGAGTCGTTGAGCCGGACTACTTCCGATCTCTTGCGATGGTGTGTTTCTGAAGTCTAGCAACGCTAGATACGGGTCGCTCTGTGCTAGTCTTGCTTTCTCCAGGAGTCGTTTGGTCGTCTTAACTGCGTTCTCCACCTTCCCATTGCTCTGGGGGTATCCTGGTGATGACGTTTGGTGCTTGAAGTTCCACTCACGGGCAAACTTCTCAAACTCTGAGGACGCAAACTGTGGTTCGTTGTCTGTCATCACTACGTCGGGAATGCCGTGTCTGGCAAACTGCATCTTCAGCTTTCTGATGTTGGTGGTGGACCGTGTGTCCGCTTCGCAGGTGTCTATCTCACAGAAGTTTGAGTAGTAGTCAACTGTGATGAGGTATTCTCTGTTATGTAGTGTGAAAAGGTCGACTCCTACCTTTTCCCATGGTCGTTGTGTGACGGGGTGTGGAATCAGGCTTTCCTTTTGTTGCCTGTTGCCGACTGATTGGCATATGTCGCATCTGCTGACGTAGTCTTTTACTTCAGCATTCATCCCTGGCCAATACACACAGTCTTTAGCGAGTTTTGAGTGACCCTTCCATTTCCCCCATGTATAATGTAAGTCTCTTGAGTGCTGTGTCCTCTGATATTCTGTCCTGCACACTGTAGTCTGTATATCGATCATCCCACACTTCTGTTCTTTTGGGGATCTACAGTAGTCTTGTCTTTACTTAGGTACCAATAACAACTGTCTTAATGTCCAGGTTGGTTTGAAACATGTTTTAATACCATGTATGAGCACTGCAAATTCTCCATAGAGCTTCTGAAAGGTTCTTGATGTAGATAGGATGGTAGGATATCATCATGCACCCGAGAGGGCAGATTGAGATTGACTGAAAATCATGTTGAGTTGTTTTTTTGTGTTGGAACATAGCTTTATAAATTCTACAACATACTGTTATGGATAAATCTACCAACTTGGATGGGCTTTCATTCAAAGCTCTTCTACTAGCTAACTCATGACCAATATGTTTTGTCTTCTCTATCACTAGGAAAGCTTAACTTACAAACCCTGTATGAAAAAAACATTTTCTACAAATTACATGGTCAATAAAATGGTCTTTCTTAAATTAGTCTACATAGTGACGTAGCCCATTTATCTTACAATTTGATGATTTTTGTCTTCAACTCAGAAAAACGCAAGTCCCTCACATGTATCTGTACTTCCTGATACAGTGGTCTTTTGGATCAGCTACAAACAGATGTCCATCCTCTGTCACAGCCACCCCATGGGGTTTGCTCAGTTTGTCCCCCTCACTGCTAATGGTGGACACCCAGGTGCCATCTGGGCGGAACACCTGAAGCTTCTTGCCGTATTGTACACCACCTACATTAGATTCCATTCCAATGTTTCCCAGAACTATGTTCCCCTTGCTGTCAGCTGACACCCCTGTAGGGTCCCACATGTTCTGTGGCTGTCTACCTTTCTGACCAAACTTGTGTTGGAAGTTAAAATTCTTGTCAAACACTTGAACACGGCTGTTGTCTTTTTCTGCTACAATGATGTTGTCTTCTTCATCCACACAGACAAAACAGGGCAAGTCAAACTGTCCCTCCCCCTTCCCCTGCCCTCCCATCTGTTTCACCAGTGTCCCATCTGCCTCAAACAGGAAAATGCTGTGTTTACCACGATCAGCTACAAGAACCCTCCCGTCCCTCTGTATTGCCAGGCCAAAAGGATTTATGCAATTTTCACATTAAAAGACCCAAAAAGTCAGCTGCGCTGACCTGGCGATGACGTCACAAATGTTGGGTTATGAATGAATGACTTAATTTCAGGTATTTCACCCATAGAAAACAACGATACAAACATAGAAACACGACTATACATACAACACCTACATTTTCAAAAAGGAATCTCTGCACTGACAATCCGACCTCAGAAGACATTGTATTATGCTGCTTTTGGTGTTGTTTAGCCTATTAATAAAAGTGTAGCATAATTTTCTGCGTCTGGAATACATAATATGCTCCAACATTTTGCAGCAAACGCTTGTAAGCGATACAGGTCGGTAGTTGGCTGCATCACTCCTGTCGCCTTTCTTAGATATTGGGTGTATAAATGCTCTACGCCAATCAGGTGGTACTTGGCCCTCTTGCAGGGATTGGTTGAAAATAAAATGCAAAACAGGACTAATCTCGAGGGCATACTCCTTTAGTACTCAGGTCCACTAGCTTTGTTAGGGTTAATGCCTTGCAGTAATTTCTGGATCCCTTCCAAAGTGACAGTTATTTTGGGCATGCTGGAATCAAATGTGTCTGTAGTTTGGTGAACAAACATAGTACGTACTAGTTGCCAGGCGACCCGTTCATCACGTGACCAGCCAGCGAGTGCGTTGAGTCAAACAGTTCCAAGGCCTGCATGGAGATTCAAGATGGTTTTATTGTTTTTTTATCGAGTAGCGTGCGTAGTCCAGTGGTCAGCGATCCTGCCTCTGGACTGAGAGGTTGGGAGTTCGAATCCCGGCTGTTGTCGCTCACCCGACATGCACGCTACTGTTTAGGGTCGCAGTCCTTAGGACGGGATGTTAAGCCGTGGTCCACTGTTCATTGGGCTTGTCGAAATGATCTGGGGGAATTTCCCCGGTACAATGAACCTGTAAATACTGTACATAGCGTCTGTCATCTCTGTCACGACCAGTGGAAGATTAGCTCTTCAGTGAGCTAAACTGGTTCGAGATATTTTTTTTCAGTTAATAACTGAACTAGAAAGGTAACATTTGCAAAGCAAATCATATTCGTTATGTTTACATTTGCATAAGCTGCTCTGTTAATTCTTACTCGAACACATTCATATATGGTCAGACAGGAGTCTGCTATAAAATTGCAACATCATGTAACCCAACACTAGTTACCATGGTGATAGACTGTCTGGTTCAGGTCATTGACCTTTTATGTTTGAAGAAGAGGAAACTGAACAAAAACAATATGTACAAACTAATTTACTAAGCATATAGGTATACAATTTAGAATGTTGTTTTATGTTTATCAAAGACCAATAAATATACAGGCTGTATAGGGGATTCATATTCTTTCATTTAAGATACAATCTTAATAATGAATAGTTATTAAGGTCTCATACTGCAATTACTCCGCACGTGTAGGGTCTAAAAGAGTCCCGACAAAAAAATGATTGTGCCTGAACAGCGTGAGTTTAGGTCTACCATAAAATCCCTTTCATCACTCAGACCTGATCTAAAAGGATTTGAGGTGAAAGCCTGTTTATTACTGACAGGATCAGGCAGGGAAGTTTTCAAGGTTCACCAACAAATTAAATTGGTGTGGCCTAAATGCTATAATTATCTGCACGCTTCACTCTATAAATATGTAGTTTGAAATGAATGACAAACAATTGGTGTGTCCTAAATGCTATATTTACTGACCAGCATGGGCAGCAAAACCTGGGTCACAAAGAGAAGGAATCTCCTCAGCGCCTTCCGCTCCTGTGCCTGTAAGCACCAGACAAGTATCTATTAATGTGTTCTTGCTTCTGTACGAGTTCTATTTTCATTGCTTGTTGTGTAGAGATGCTTGACTTCTAGACTGTTTGGGGTTGGGTGTTAGCCAGCTCGTAGTGAGCTCAAATCATAAAAATTACTTGCTGTCGCCTAAATGCTATATTTACTCACTAACATGGGCAGCAAAACCTGTGTGATAAAGAACACAAATCGTCGGAGGGACAGCAGCTCCGCATCCAGGTCCTGCCTGCTCCTCCTCCCTCTCTGTCCTCAGGTCACCTCTGCCCTCTCAAATCTCCTGTAAACATCAGACAAATATCTATTAATGAGAGTGGTTGCTTCTGTATGAGTTCTATTTTCATGGCACCAGCATGGGCAGCAACACCTTGGTCACAAACGCCGAAGTGTGACGAGTTAATCCTTGGCGCTCTATCTCTCCTTCTTCCTCCTCTCTACAATCAGACAAAGTATTGTGTATATCAGGTACCTGGGGCAGGTCAAATCTTGTAACAAGTGCGGCGAACAAGGTCACTTGTTCGCCGAATGTCCCACGGAAAAGTGCGGACGTTGCCTACAGTTGAAAATAGAACTCATACTCCACAGCGCACACGCACCCCCCAGTACGTATATTTTTGTTGCAGCATGACAGGTACAGGCCAGCACTGGCGATGCCGGAAGGCAAGAGAAAGATGCACAGCCAAAGTGCTTCAAACACTCACCGGGGAGTTTATTCCGAAGGACAAACACAATCATCCTTGCTTGCAAATTTTAAAATATAACGTTACACTTACAGATGAAGAAGTAATGCAATATGCCTACAGTTGAAAATAGAACTCATACAGAAGCAAGCACTCATTTATAGATATATTGCCAACCCGCAGCCCATAGGGAATGGGACTGTCCCCATTTGGAGCAAGCGGTGCTGTCCGGCCTAAATAGGGCTGCTTGGTCGTTCAGGGTGCTACGCCTCAACTTCTGCCGGTATAATGAAGTGTGTTGTGGTTCTTTAGACAGAAAAAATATATAAAAATACCTTTCAGCATTCATGCACCTACTGTTTCTGATTTATTTTCCCGCAATAGTTTGATATATATCGGAATAAAATATGTGGGAGTAAACTTACAGCCAGATTTGACACCATCTGTATAGTGACTTGGTACATGTTGGCGACAGCCTGCCTCCCCTGGGCGTTTCAACCTCAGTAAATAGGAGTCCCATAGTTCTCCTGATCATACACATGTACATGAAGGCAACAGGTGGACCTAAGTACATATTTTCAATTTGTGCCACCTGATCTGGTTTTGCAGCTTTTCTTTGATCTCTCTTTCACTCCCAGCCTTCAGGGACTGCGTAAGACGTCACAAGACGTAAACTTGCTAGTGCTCTTGTGCTGCTTGCTCAACATTCTTCCTTCTCTGTGCCTTCTTTTCCATGGATGTTTGTTTTTTCATCGTCTTCTCAGTCATTTTTTTTTAACTTGCAGGATGTTTCTGATTTTTTTCTCAATTTTTGCACTGTTTCTCCCTCGTGGTGGTGCTGTTTCTCCCTCGTGGTGGTGCTTCAGTGTTTGAGTCGGGCTCTGTATCGCTCCCCGCCGGTGCGTCCACCGAGGCTGTTTCTATCCACTTGCTGCCTAGGTACCTTCTTCAGGGATTACCCCCTTTGCTCTCCCGACCAGATTGTAGCTATCTCCCCCTTGGATTTTCGTTGGGTATCCTTCTGGGCTTCCCTGCCAGTGGAAAAGGGCCTTGAGTGATTCCCGGTATCGTCACTTCCCTCCCTTCGCGGAAATCCAATATGGCGCCCGAGGCGCTGTCTCGTGGCGCGACACAAAAAGGGCTCTAGAATCTTTAAAAAGGTAGTTCTTCAGGTAATCTAGACTTTAAAACGTCCCTAGTACTAACATACTTCGACTACTGGTCTTCTATTAAAAAAATATTTAAAAAATCACGTAAAAAATAGCTTAATTAAAAACCAATGCAGCAGAGCAAATTAGATCATGTCCATCCAAATCGGCCCTCAGTAGTGCCTTGCACTGCTCTTCCTTCATGTCTGGGAGTTCAGACTGGATAGCGATGGCAGACGCTCCTTTTGGATCCTTGATACTCGTAATAATATCCTCTACCCTGTTTAGTGTTATGGACTGTATGTCCAAAGGCAAAGCAGGGGGTGGATGCGGTCGTCCATGACTCCTTAGTACTCGGGTCGACATCTTCCAGTACATAGGCGACCGGAGTGCACTCTAAGACTAAAAACGTCCGCCGACGATCTCCTCCCGTCACTGGTGCGTACTCCTCCTCCTCCTCCTCCTAATAAATGTACACATATCATCGATGAATGACAAACAATTAGTGTGTCCTAAATGCTATATTTACTGACCAGCATGGGCAGCAAAACCTGGGTCACAAAGAGAAGGAATCTCCTCAGCGCCTTCAGCTCCTGTGCCTGTAAGCACCAGACAAATATCTATTAATGTGTTCTTGCTTCTGTACGAGTTCTATTTTCATTGCTATGAAAATGAAAACATAAAAGTACAACAAGAAGCCAAAAAAATAAACTTTTCAGTCCGTCTCTTTGTCATCCTTTTCCCTTCCACACTTCTCTATCTCTATTCAGTTGAACGTGTTAGGAAATTTGTGAGGATTTTACGTCTTCTTGACCTTGTCATAACCCCGCGACACTGAAAGAAGTGAGACAATGACATTGTATAAGTTCTTGACGCTATCTAATATTTCCTCTAACTTGAGCCCCTTTTGCTCTGTATTCATATATATGTTCTAATTTTAATTTAACTTGCGTGTATTTATTTAAGATTTCGTCATTCAACGTTTCGTCTAGTTGCCTCTCCAGTTCTTGCAGTCTATTTTCTAGATCTTGGTGTTCTATATTAATTCTACTGGCTTTAATCTTAGCATATTTATCCGAGAACTCCTTAATCTTAACTTTACATATCTCCCAAGCTAATTGTTTTGATTCACTGTAATTTTCAAATTCCTTAACTACAGAGAGTACAGTAGATCTCACACCCATAGCATAGTTCTCATCCAACAGGTGGGAGGTATTGAGGCGCCAAGACCCTGGCCCTCTAGCAAAATTTTCAAGTTTATCTTAGGTTCATCTCCGTAGCGTGGTGTGTATAGACTACTCCCGTACGCGTGTTGAGTACACGCCGGTTTCGTTTGTGTGCATCAGAGAGCTGCTTGAAACGGGCTTTTGTGATGGCTGAACATTCCCGCGCCCGTGTCCGCCTAACCATGTACCACAGAACCAACCCCGGAACAAATACTGCAACAGCAACCGCATACTACATACAGCCGCACCTGGACAGGGCGGCAGGGTTTATATATGTGTGGTTTATTTCAATAACAATTGTCTCAAACATTGCAGCCAAAGCATTGGCTGAATTGCGTCGGGACAATTACAATTCGTATAGGCGTGTGATTAAAACATATAACATACGGAGTAAAAAGTTCTATACAGAATTTTTCGGAGTGTCAAATACTGCTACAAGTTTATGTCCGTAATGGGTTTCAGGTTTTCCCGCCATTCGACAAATTTCTGTGACGGTAGTGGTGCCGGGTTTCACAATTTCCCGCCATTCGATGAACTTCTGTGACAGTGGTAGTGTCATCATCATCATCATCATTCATCCTCCGTAGAGGTGGAGCATACAAAGTTAGTTCGCCACAACTGTCTGTCATACATCACTGAGAAAAGTTCATGTCCCTCCAAGCCAGTTTCAGTTTCAATAAGTTTCTTAACTGTTATGTTTGGGCGTCCAACTCTTCTCTTACAGGTATCAGGGTTCCAGAGTAGAAGCCTACTGGCTGGTTCTTCACTACGTATTACATGACCGGCCAAGCTTAGTCGTCGACATTTGACTACTGAAGTTACATTTGGTAGCGAACCGTATAACTGTTCATTAGTAGTGTGTTTCCACCATGGTGTATTGAAAACCACTCGCAACATCTTCGTGTATGTTCCGTTTAGTTTTCTAGAATGTGACATATTCATGACCCATGATTCTGACCCATACAAAAGAATTGTTTCAATACATGCCTTAAACACTTTGATCTTAGTTTGTTTTCTAATGGGCGCTTTCCAAATCTTATGTAATGAGTGAAGAGCACTCCATGCCTGTGCGATCCGCACATCCATGTCATGAACACTATCAGAGTACCCCCCTAAGTATTTGAAATCCGCAACACATTCAATTACAGTGCCATCAGTGGCAAAAAGTAAACTGTCAGTAGTAGGGTTTAGATGCATGAACTTTGTCGCATGTCGCTTTGGAAGCATTCAAATATAAACCTATTTTTTGACATGAAGTTTCAACTTTTGTGAGAAGATCTTGTGCATATTTTATTGAGTTTTCCAATAAAGCAATATCATCAGCAAAATCAAGGTCTGGGAGGGTTTCAGCTGGGTATCGTCGGCTCCGACGACGACGGAGAGTAAGCCCGTCTGATTCTGAAATCGAAGACCGGAGCGCATAGTCGAGGCAAATAACAAAAAGGAAAGGGGCCAAAGGATCGCCCTGCAGGACTCCAGTGTTAATGCTAAATGCATCGGTTTCTCGCTCAGGAGTAATAACCACAGCACTGGTGTCCTCGTACATGACTCGAATAGCGCTGACGACATCCAGCGGAATCCCATACGCTTCCAAGATATGAAACATTTTGTGGCGGTTAATCGAATCGAAAGCCTTGCGGAAATCGATAAACACAAGTACTGCCTCTTGGTCAAAGTTTCTCAACTCTTCTACAATGCGTCTGAGCGCGAGAATGTGAGAAGTAGTTGATCTACCTTGACGGAAGCCATTTTGGTTTGTACGTAACACTTTGTCGACAACTGGACGAATCCTATTGAGCAAACAACGGTTATAAATTTTGGATGCAATTTGTGACAGTGAAATACCTCTATAATTATCTGGGCGGCGCAAGTCACCTTTCTTAGGGATGGGGATGATTCCAGACAATCCCCATTCCTTGGGGCGCTCTCCCCTGTAGGTTAAGTTGCAAAAGTGCAAGAGAATTTTTGTCATGCTCGGTAGTTTCCAAAATTCTGATGGGAGGCCATCCATGCCAGGTGCTTTCCCAGTTTTTAGTTGCATGGTTGCCAAGGTAACTTCTTCCTGAGAAAACTCCCCACTCTTAATCTCGGTGAAAACATCAAATACTTTATAGATTGGTTCAGTGCTTATAGGATTCGTATTCACATTAAGAAGGTTTTTTAAATGATCCCCCCATAGTTTCAGTCGGTCTTCCCCCTTAATATACACAACACTTTTTGATTTCTTTCCTGCAAGAGTCTTCACAAGGTCCCATGCATTTTTGACATCTGTTGACAAAGCTGGATTTTCAAAGATAGTGAGTGTCTCGTTAATACGCCTGTCTTCGCAGCGATCATAGGTTTTCCGCAGGTTGACCTGTGCTGCTTGTACATTCCGAGTAGATGCTCTTGAGTGTTGCTTTCCTTGCTGTTACTACTGGATCAGCGTCTCTGGTATCTTGAGCTCGGCGAGGTTTACGTGGTAGCAATTCCTTGCCGGTTTTGTGGGCAATGTTAACAAAAGATGTGTAGTTTTGTTCAGACAGGGGTAAGTTTTCATAACGAGATTTGACTGTATCCTCTATCTTGGATGCCAGTTGCTTGTTCTTTGTAACCGCACTCCAGAAAAGCTTCTTTGAGGCTGCATTCTTGGACACTCTAAGGCTGAGTTTAACCGTGGCAGTCACAATTCGATGGTCGCTACCGACTGGGTTCGAAGAGGAATATGCCTGGCAGTCCTTAACACTGTTGCGCCATCGTTTACGGTAAAGACATAAATCTATCTGGGAGCGGTCACCCTTTGGTGATCGAAATGTCCAAAGTTTGCGGCTAGGTTTGCGGAAGGAGATGTTACCAACTACAAGGTTGTGTTGCTCTATAAAGGTTTTAAAGAGCAGACCGTTACGGTTTGATACCTTGTGGATGGAATGGCCCTTTGCAATTTGAGCATCCATATCACCTCCTATGAATAACATGGCATGTGGCGGTATACTCTCGACTGTGTTGCTCAATTTTGTGTAGAAGTCATTTGCAATGTCATCCGACAAACTGTTGTGTGGGGCATAACAGGAGACAATTACAGATGCTGGGTTGCCCTTAAACCTGGCAACAATTATACGTTCGTCAATTTTTCTCACAGAGAGTAGAACGACATGCTCCGGACATGCTCCTTAATGGTAAGAAGAGCCAGCTGTTGCTGATCTGTTCCAGCCGTGGTGTACCATCAATGCCACCGCTCACTCTTGGAGGTGACCTTGTCCCAGTCACGAGTGTCGCTAAAGGCCTCGGTTTCACCTTTGACAGCAAACTGTCCTGGGAGGAACATGTCAGGGCTTCAGTAGCAAATGCTTCAAGCAGGCTTCATTTCCTGCGATTGTTAACCAAGCAGGGAATGATTGTGGACGACCTCATACAAGTATACTTATCACTCATCCGCCCCGTACTGGAATATGGCCACGTTTTACTCGTCGGTTGCAACGTAGCTCTAGCAAACAGCATGGAACGAGTCCAACGTCACGCACTTCGTATCATCTCTTGCGGAGGGAGACGCGACGTACCAGCTCTACCCTCTCTAAAGGAAAGGAGAGAGTCTGCGGCCGTGTCCCTGTTCAGGTCGATGCTAAATCCCGAACACCCACTACACGACCTGGTGCCCCCCCAGAGAGCAACTGCTACCGGCAGGATCCTAAGGAACAGCCAGGCCATGAGTGCTCCCAGGGCCAGGACAAAGCGGCTCCAGCAGTCCTTTCTCCACAGGGCCATAGCCCTATACAACGAAGAACTGACGTATCACTAGTTTTATTTTTCCTAAACCTCATCTGTATATAGTTTTTTTGCTTGGTACAAATTCTTTATGTATTATAGTGTATATGAGGGTGTGTATATAGTGTTTGTTTTGCCTATTGTAACTTTTATTTTCTGTACGCAAACTCTTTCAATTCAGGGATTCTCATCCCTGCTGCAAGGTTTGCTTTTGGTGTTGAAATAAACTATGAAATACTAGTGTTCTGAAACGCTGGTGAAGCAGTGTGCTGAGATGGGTGGGGAATGATCTCAGGAACCTTTGGTTCGACCAGCTTCTCCTTTGACTTCTCAGTGGCAGGGGACTCAGTGTTGTTATTGTTATTGCTGGAAGATGCACTGTTGTCCTTCTGCTTTCTTCCCTTCTTAGGGGTCTTCGGCTTTGATGAGATGCGAATCTGGTGTGTATAGCGTGTGAGCATTTCTAGTGCCCCAGTGCGAATCTTTTCCTCCTGGCCTTCTTCACTGCCAAACTCGTCCGTTGGGGCCATCTTGTAAAGGGGCAAGACATGGAGTTGTTCATCCTCTGGTGGTGGCCCAAGTTTCCGATTTTCTGGACAAGTCAGCGTGCACACAATTGTGCTGCCATTGTTCCGCCAGTTGGGCCAGCTAGCGTCGTCGTGTCTCCAATAATTTCCCCATATTTACGTTCTGTTCTTGTATAAGTATTGATATAGATTTTGCAGTGGAAAATCGTTCTGTGAATGGTTGTCCGGCCAGTTGGGTACTATCGCAGTCGTCTGTCGTTCAGGGGCTCCGATACATGTGATCCCAGTTATGTTTTTGTCTCGCGTACATCAGTATTTTCCTGGATTTCTCAGGTGTTGTGTTCTGGGCATGCTTTGTCCCGCCAACTGGGCCGGCTAGCGTCGCCGTGTGCGGCCGAGGGGCCCCGTCAGACATTCTTCTAATTTACGTTCCGTTTTGGTGTAGTTTGGTCTTGATATGAACTTTTGCAGTGGAAATGCTCTGTGTAAATTGCCTTGTCCGTCTTGATGGACCTGCTAGGTCGTCGTCCGGTGTCGTTTCGTTCTTGCGTTGTATTCATGTATTGATCTGAACTTTGACAGTTGTGAAGCCCGGGTTGGCTCTCTGTTGTTCTCGCAGATGTTATCCTTTCTTGATTTTTTTTTCCTATCTCGTCAGAAATCTCCGGTTTCAGTCCGGACAGTTGTTACCTGTACGTATGTGTTTTCATGGTCTTTGCAAATCCTGGGGCGGCCTCATGTGTCAAATTGCCACAGTTTCCGTGTCGTCAGGGGCCCAACCGGTGACTGAAACGTTACTGTCCATTATCCTTATAATGATCAGGGTGTTTTCTTGTGTACTTTGGTTCAGTTGTGATACTAACGTAATCCGGTGCGCAGAGATTCAGTTTTAATGGTTTTGTGTGAGTTGTATCACTAGCTATATAGTGTACTAGTGTACTTGTGCTCCCATAGTGTAAACTTTTCAGTGATGTTATTCTGGTCCGTTGTGTTTCGTGGTTGTTTTGCCATCCTGCCTGTCTAGGCTTTGAGTAAATTCCCTGGTTCTGTCAATGGTTTTAGACGGTTCTGGGACGTAACTAATCAGGATTGTGCAGAGACGTCTCTGACGCCGTCTCGAGTGTCCGTCACCTTCCGGCCAGCCTCCTGAAAACCATCTGTTCCCCTTCCCCATAGTCCTGGCGTGTTCTGTGACTGACAGTGCCGCCGTGGCTAGGCCTACTTCCCAGCCTCTTCCCACGTTCGTCTCTGAGGTGCACCTTTGTTTCACCGGAGCCCACCCTCCCCGGGGACCCGGTGCGTGCGCTTCCCACCTCCTCCCTCGCATACCTCACCCGTTCCACCTCGTCTGGTTCTTCTAACTTTCGGCCGTCGCTAATTCACGCTTGTCACCCATCAATGTCACCTGCCAATTACCCCTTCCTCCGCCCTATACTTCTGCTGATCCACGTGTGTCCCTCCCTTGCCCATATCCTGTTACGCGTACCCACGCCGTTATTCCGCTGACTCGGTCCCTTACAACCGTTTACTCATTCCGCTGTCCATCACCCGGATCGCTTCTGACTTCCTTACTGAATAGGTTGACAAGCAAGATCCAACCCCATCTTGCTTGACTTTAGGCTCCAGAGATGTCTGTGCGGTTCGCCACACCTGCACCGGGTTTTGGTCGAGGTCACGAGTAGGTTCACAAGATTCCGGAACATAACCAAGGAAAAAGTCGTGGGAAATAATAATAAAATGAAATAAAAGAGAATACAAAGCCCCGTTTCGTGGCGCCTCTGGGGTGGGAGGGGGGTAACGCAGCCCCACAGTACTGCAACAAAAATCGTTCTAACTTCAAACAAAACATAAAATGGAACTCAAAATATACTGAGAAAACCATCTAGTTGATGGATGACTCAAACATGTGCCTCCATGGGCCACCCTGACGTAGGATTACGGTGGATTCCTTATCCCAGTGCAGAGAGCTCCCTAGGAAGGCGCCATGTTGGTTTCGTGACCTCTGACCTCAGTGTGGTAGTGTAGGGTTTCATAATTTCCCGCCATTCTGTGAACTTTTGTTCTGTGACTTTCCCGCCATTCGATGAACTTCTGTGACGGTTGTGGTGTCGGATTTCAAATTTACCCGCCATTCTATGAACTTTTGTGACGGTGTGTGGTGGGTGTTGGGTTTCCCCGCCATTTATGTGTGTGGTAAATAATGTGGAAGGCTTCACACAGTTCTTTTTTTTTCGACGTTATTTTTATTAGATTTTCAAAAATACACAGACTTGCATGGCACAGGTTTTACAAGAACAGAAACAAACTCATACCAGAAACCAATTCATTATAGTCACTACTCACTGGTCGCCAGTTTTTTATATTTGAGGGTTCTTTATCCTTTCCCTCAGCGTCTTGTTTCAGTAATAGGGAAATTAGTCCAATTATTTGTGTGTCCGAGAGATGACCTAAGAAAAAGGAGTAATTGAACGACTCTAACATAGGCTGTTTCAAAAGGTTATAAAATTCTTTGTAAAATTCCACGGGTAAACCGTCCAAACCAGGAGACTTCCCGGTTCTGTTTTCACAGTTCCCTCGGAAGTAATAAATTTTGTCATGTTTTTTCTAGTTTGACATCTTTCAACCAGATTCATGAAAAGTTTGGAGCATTTTTCTCCATGTTCCATACACTTTGCCCTGCCACTCAAAATTAAACTAGTCGTCTTATTTTGGTAAATCAATTCTAATTGTCGTCTCTTCTCTTGCAGACTTTGGAAAACCTCAATGTCGTATAACAGGTCTAACCTCTTTTGTAACCCCTCGATCTCACTGATGAGAGACTGCTCCTTGTTTCTACTTTTCTTAAGTTTCCATGAGGAAAACTTAATTACATGCCCACGAACTGCACATTTAAAAGAGTCCCACACTATATGTGGATTCGCTAACTTCATATTAAATTTAAAAAAAAAAAACCTTGATAAAGGAAGATGTTTCCTTTATAAACTCTGGATATTGTAAGAGATCAATGTTAAACCTCCAAAAACCAGGGCCTCGGTGTACATTTGAATCAATCAAAGAGATCCCGATTAGCGCATGGTCTGATCTCAGGCTCTCCGCAATGACCACTTTGTCTACAGAAGAAGTCAACGAAAAGGAAATCAAGAAGTAATCAATGCGGCTGGCCTGAGACCGACGGCGCCATGTGTAACGCACTGTTTTTGGATTCTTATACCTATATATATCTATCAAATCCAGCTTAGCACATAACGACTTAATAGCTTGGAGACAGGGTGATAATTTGAGTCCCTATGTCCCGTTCTATCCATTTGAGTGTCCAAAACTGTATTAAAGTCTCCTACAATAATTGTATGTTTTGCGGTGTCAGTACACTTTTGTATCTCATCTTCAAGATTAAAAAAGAAAGAAGGTTCGTCTATATTAGGAGCATATAGATATTCGCCAAGCAGAACCGGAGTGAGTTGACTGTAATTTGCACTATCATCCATCTCCCCAAGTTGTCACTCAGTATTTGATGAATTGTATACAGAATATTTTTCTTAAAAAGAATTATTACACCTTTGCTCTTGCTAGATCCGTTATTAAACAAAATTGGAGCCCCCAGTCTGTTTGCCATTCTTCTTCATTTTTTTCTGTACAATGGGTCTCTTGTAAACAGTAGATGTCATATGCTTTATCTCTTAACCATGTGAATATTTCCACTCGCTTTTTTCGATCGCCCAGTCCATTACAATTGTCTTATCTTGTACGGGTTCTGCACAACACCCCTAGATTGGGGTAAAGCGTGCAGGGGAGCTGTGCGATGCGCTATTGCTGCTTCTTTAGGTGTTGCAGTACTGCAGCGTTGAACTTCGTGGGTTCCGCAGTATCAGTTATCTCTTGGGGCAAAATGTTCCAATCTCTGACAGTTTGTGGAAAGTATGAATATTTGTAGCAGTCTTTGTGAAACGTTAAAGGTTTGTATGAGTTGGAGTTAAAGTGTCGCGATTGGCGCGGTATAGGCGTCAACAAGGTTTTGACCGGAAGGGCTGTTTTTGAGTGTCTTGCTTTCTTAAATAATGTGAGTCTACTTGCTGTGCGTCTGTCCTTTACTGTGTCCCACCCTAAATCTGTGACCAATTTGGTAGTGCTGGCATAAGTATCATAGGTATTTGAGACAAATCTGGCCGCTCTTTTCTGGACCGATTCTAACTTGTGAATATGTTCCCTGTAGTACGGATCCCACGCAGCGCTAGCATATTCAAGATGTGGTCTGACTAAACTAGTGTATCACTCGTTCTCATTCAAATGTACAAAATGCTGTCGCCACTCTTTACGACTAGGTATGAGCCAAATCATGGACCTCATCGTTGCTTCCTTCACTTTCCCACTACACTTACTATGTTTCACGAAAAATGTACCACAAAACTAGGTTTGATTGATGACTTGAGAGAAATTATGGTAGCGGGTTGGATTTCTCCCCCTAAAAAGCGGCTGTCGCCTGAGACGAAATAGAAACTTTAAAAAGCAGCCTAAAACGTAGAAATTTAATTACGGCAGTAGTTTGCTGCATGGTGAAGTCGGCTGGCCATGCCCTCTGACTGATCAAGTCAGATCGCTTCTGTCACAATTTTTGTACGCTGTGCAAGGTGTTTCATACCTGTCGCCAAGTTCTGTAACATCCGTTACCGCTCAAGTAAGACGGTCGTGCAGTTTAGATAGAGTCACATATGAGACAAGAAATTGCCATTTTGATTACTTTTAGCAAGTTTTCTAGGTTTCTAAGAGAAGAAGAAAAGAGGGTGTGCTGTCATTTGTAGCCACCTTCGCTGAACAAATTGTTTTACAGTAATGAATGTAACATCCGTTACCGTTGTTTTTATTTTCAATTTTAGTTTCTTCACCTGGTATATAAAAAGTCGCCCAGTTTTAAAATGTCCGTACTTATGCCCCCTTGTTCTCAAATGATGAAGATAAAAACTGCAGATTTTTTTGGAGAAATTTACAAAAACGTCCGTTTTGTAACATCCGTTACCGGTAACGGAAGTTACACCTGTAGCGGAAAAGACGTAACAAGAGATTGAATTTCCCTTCCCTACGCACCATAAACATAATAGTTGGAAATAGAGTAGAAAAAATATGGATCCGAAGAAAAATAACCCTCTGTGGCGTCAGCAAACTCAAATGTTCTACTCTTCTTTGCTTCCAAAGATAATTTTTGCTACTTCTATACACTACACTTAGCTATCTTTATGTGTTCGATACATGTTTATTTACCAGTAAATAATGGGTTGACAGAAGTACTTTCATCGATACTGACGCCTAAACTAATGGCGTTTGAAGTGATATTCATGCTGATGTTCTAGCGTTTTTGCCCCACTAAAAATGCATTGTTTACATATGTCTTATCTAAGTGCATAAATTTTCGGTAACTTCCCATGGCAATTAAGCTGTCCTGTTTTGGTAATCGTTAATTGAGATGTGTTCCTAAAAAATAAGGTAGGTTTGGCTGAAAAAACAGATCATCGATTTTTCGACCCAAAAAATCACAATTTTGTACATTTTAATGAGAACGAGCCGTATGCATTTATCTTAACTGATTCAGGGCAACTGTAGAGATTGCGTTTAACAAAACCTAATGATTTATTTGCTTTAGAAGTAATATGATAGATGTGTTCAGTCCAAGAAAGTTTGTTATTTAAGATAACCCCTAGGTACTTGTGATTATTTGCCTCAGCTAGTGTATGGCTCCCTAGTTTGTAGTCAAATACTTTAGTTTTTCGTTTATGGGTGTAGCGCATGACGTAGCATTTGTCAGGATGTAGTTTCATTTGCCAATTGCTCTGCCATGCGTCTAACATGTTTATATCATCTTGTAGTTGGGTATGGTCATTGTCATTGTTTATTTCTCTGTACATGACACAGTCATCGGCAAAAAGCCTGATGTTAGAGTTAAGGTTATCAGCCAGATCATTTATGTATACTAGAAACAATAAAGGCCCTAGTACGGTGCCTTGGGGTACTCCAGAAACTACTTCTGCCCAATCTGAATGTTCCCCCCCCCCAGCTACCACCCTTTGTTTATGTTTTTTAAGAAGTTAGAAATCCACTGGAGGAGTTTGCCTCGGATACCGTAATTATGTAGTTTTAAGAGAAGACGGTTATGGGGAACCTTATCGAAGGCTTTGGCAAAATCATTTATGATTAGGTCAGTTTGTGATTTGGAATCTAAGGAAAGGGCTAAGTCATTTGTGGTTTGGACAAGTTGAGTCTCACACGAATGTTTTTTCCTAAAGCCATGTTGGTTTTCAGTTAAGATAGAATACATATCAAAATGGTCCATTATCTGGGAGTGAATAATGTGCTCCATAACCTTACTACAAACACAAGTGAGAGAGACGGGACGATAGTTAGAAGGTTTCGTCCTATCACCTTTTTTTATAAATGGGAGTGATGTTGGCGTGTAGCCAAGTGGACGGGATTTGGCCTGATTCTAATATTTCTGACATATTAAGGTTAGAGCTGGGGCTAACTCTACGGCCGCTAGTTTAAGAATTTTTGCTGGAAGGCCGTCTGGTCCACTAGCTTTGTGTGGATTCAGTTCACTAGCTTTGTGTGGATTCAGTTCACTCAGGAGTTTGTGTGTGTGTGTGTGTGTGTGTGTGTGTGTGCACCCCTGTGAGAGACAGTATGTGGATGTGTGTGTGCATATGTGAGAGGCAGTGTTCATGGACAATTGAAATTTATTTGTTGCTCATCATTTTACAAATGTACAACAGCAGGGGGAGCAGAAGCGCATCCCCCTGAATTAGGTACAATTTGTCACATTATTTAAAAAAACAACGTTCACATTGAAAAATAATACATCTAAACTAACATATATACAAAAGACACATATAAAAATTATTTACAACAGATATACACAAAGTTGCTTGGTCAGGCTATACAAGTTCCAATGTAGGTTCAAGGTAGGTTATTGTAGAGTCTAATGGTGTGGTGCAGGAAGGACTGTTGCAGCCGTGATCATGTGTGTGTGATCATGATGAGTGTGTGCTTGTGTGAGTCTGTGTGACTGTGTTCATGTGTACATGTATGTAGGTCTACATGACTTTGTATTGTGTGTGTTTGTTTGTCTTACATACAATGTAGTTACCTTCTTTGCTGAGGTGATTTGGTTGATGTCTGCAGTCCCCAGCTCGTTGATTGGTGCCACCAAGACCGTGCCACACTGTGAGTTGGCATGGGCAGCTGAACTCACAACCACCTTCTTCTGTCTGTCCAGTCTGTGTAGGCTGCACAGGCATTGTGAATAAGACCAATTTTTTTACCTCCATGATAAGTCTGATCAGTTCTGTGCTCTTATCTAGGTTCTAAATCTTCTTGTTTATTAAAAAATACCGCAAATATTTTCCAATAAATGTACTACAGAGAAAGCAAATTGATTCATTATATTCTTAAATTATTGCATAGTGCTGTAGACCCTGTGTATGTATATTTATGATAGAGTCAAAAATATTACCTTTAGGTATCTCTTAGATTAAGTCACAAATGTTTACTTCGTACCTATTATAATTTTCTGAGTTACTTTTCCGTTGAAACTTTAACAGACTTTTGCATCAGAATTAGATTTACTCACCAGATTTGTCCTGGCCTGATCCCACATGGCAAGTCTGGAAACCCTGAGCTGTTGGTGAACAGAACTTCCTGCAGTTTCTCCATCACAGCTGTCTCATCTTCCAACAGAAGAGAAACCTGTCTGGATATTAAAAAATGCACAGTAGATAATCCTTATGCATCAGGTATCATTAGAGAATTTATCAGGACTCAAAATGTTATAAAGCATCCACAATGACATCTCTTATTAATATGACTTTTAAATTGGGAAGACTAAAAATTTAGGATTTCTGATTTTTGTAGCTAACATTACATGTAAATGTAACATGTATGTGGTATATGTACAGTCATATAAATAGCAAAAGTATGGTCATAACCAATGGTCACAATATGTTTCAAAAGTCATCTTATGTTATCATTACAAGTAATTTTAATGAAAATACATGCCAGAAGGCTAATTGTAAGAGTTGTTATAAAACATGTAACATAGACATAATGATGACAAATACAATAATTATTACATGACATATAACTAGTTCCTACAGTGTACTATATACTGCATTCTAAAATGTTTCACTTCTTATTCAGACACATGATTGTGAACATACCTTGCTGTTTCTGTAGATGGTGGATTCTTCACAAACTGCACTGAGGCGACATCCACCACCATGGCCTGGCCATTCACCTGAAGAAGCACCTGGAACCTGTCTCGGTGTTTCCCACTGCCGAGGGGCAGGCTGATCCGCAGGTGACTGTCATACAGCTGCAGCTGTCCCAGGGCACTTCTGAACAGGTACCACCTGGAGTCAAGTGCTGACTCGAGGACATACTGTTGAATAAAAGACAAAACAAGTAAAATCTGAGATTTTATACCTCCGGGCTTTTTATTGTATATTCTTATATGTTGTTATGAATAGTTGATGGTGTTAAATTTTATGTGTTAGATTTAGCATTCCAGGTTGTGTTAACACAGGTCAACATTTTCATCTGCAGCTTATAACATTTACCCATGAACTTATGAAATTCTATTTAATCTGCCGCAAGGAACTCGTAATGAAACTCAGAATGACAACCGGAACCGTTAAATCAGACGTTAAAACCACAAATATTTCGATCGAAAACATAGTGACTGGGGTCCAAAATGTCACATACAGAAGCTTGCTGCTTATAGTACGTCAAATATACAAGGGTTTACAAGAAGTTGTAGTAATATAGGCACGTATGCAAAAGTTTGCATAATACTCATTTGCATACTTGTGACTCACTACGTTTACCAGACACCGTGCCCCCGTATTGACACTTCCGGGTTCGATCCAAGTAAAAAACACCATAAATCCGCAAAGGAATGTATATTTTCACCAAAGGTTCTTTGAATTGTGCATATTTTCACTGAATCTGGCTATGCAGCCCTGGAAAACAGCGTTTTGGTGCATATTTTTAAACAAAGTATGTATCAAGACCGGACACCCCTCTGTGCAAAAGGTCAACGACATTGCGACCATTTTCACGCTCAAAGGGTATTTTGGGGCCACCAAAACACCATTTTCCCGCCCGAAAACACATATACAATAAAAACAAAAAGAACGTGCACCATCTACAGCCCAAAAGCAAAGCATATACCGAGTCCCAAAAGAATCCGTCCACCCAAACGCAAGAAACAGCTGCGAACATGAAAATCTAAATCCCTTACAAAGCCCTTCCGCGGAAGGATGTCTCCTTCCCTGGAGGCAATAAGTCATGTTACATTGTATGGTGCACAACAGAGAGAATTCTGTCAGAAGCATCATGAGAGTCTCTAGGTTTTACATGTACATGTACATGTACAATGTAAATGCATCTTTACCTAGTAAGAAAATAAATTTATTAACTAATAAAGATCCAATCAAATATTCAATGATTACCATGTCCTAAGAGGCTAGGTATAGGTAGGTAGTATAATTCAATACAATTCAATTGCTGATGAATATAAGATGCTGGTGAAACAAGACAAAGCTCCGGTTTATCTCAGCCCTAAACTTAAAGGCAGTTAAATACAATACATGGATACTATTAGTAACTTCTTGAAGGTAACTACATGTACTAAGCAAATTGCAAATGTGGCAATTTGTATGATCAGAAATCATGGACGGAAATTGTGCTTCTATTGATACCTGTGCATGTTGCTGGCTTTGAGTGTAGTCAGGAGAAGATCTAGAGGCCTGTTCTGCTCGCACGACGGCCCCCCCCCCTTCCAGCTGCCCTAAGAGCTCACACCCTGGGTACCACCGAGCATGTTCCACCCATGGGTCATCGAAATCTGCAATACAATTGTCATGTATTTCTTTGCCAGAAGACAATTTCAAAACCTGGTGATATTTTAAAACGTGCATTAAGTAATAACGTTGTAGTGTTACTTACCTGTGTGGTAGAAACCTGCTTGAGCAAGTGACTCTGGGTTAACTGGAGCATGCAATGGCCAAGGCAAAAAGGATTCAATCCGTGCCTGCTCATCTGCCATTTCATGCTGGTGAAACAGGACAAAGAACCAATTTAACTTACAGTACTGTAGCTCCAAAGACAACAGTGTCAAACAATTATTGGACATTACTCAATAGTGGTAACTGCTGGGAATTTTATACTTGTAATATTTGGAAGTTATGTGAAGGTGAACATCATTAAACATTAAGTTATTCAAATCATGATGTCATTTGCAAAATTTATAAGGAAATGCTAGAATAGCTTTTTGTCAAAAATAAGACTGTCATTGGAAGAATAATATAGCAATTATGATGTGAACCCTGTGTATACACTGTATCACAGTCATTTCACCATTTCGTAAAACACAGAAATCAATTTTGAATGTTAGATAAGCCAAAATTGTGTCGTCAGTCACATACCTGCTGTTGACACTGGCAGATATATTAGCCGTAGCGGCTGCCAGGTTTGGCCTCGTGTACCTGTGGACTTTGTTCTATTCTTACCCAAGTCCTCCACACAGGTCACATAGTCCATAAAACTTTTTGAACAGTTGGAAACAAAAAGAAGTGAGAAGTTACCATCCTCAATTAATGGAACACCCATATCCCATACTTAAACGCACAGACATCTTTACTGGGTACATACAGGTCTGCCATAACTTCTTTCAGACTTGGGCAGGAATTGTCATTAATAGGAGTGAAGAACTTCCTAGCTGTTATGTCTACTGGTGGCTTGTTTTTTTCCCTTGGACCAATTAGGGCTCTGCCACTCCATGTCTTTGATTTTTTAAATATCGGTGTTTGCACTCTTCATTGGCTGTGTCCATTCTGCAGGTTTGGAGAGTGGGGCAAAGGCCATGTGATCCAGAGGTAGGAGTCCTAGTGGCACTATTTCTATGGTCCTGTGTTGTGCATGCAAAACAGTTTCTGAAAAATCTTACCTTGTCCGAAGTAGACCACAAAGTCCACCCAGTCAAGCTCGCAGCAGTACAACTGGCCCTGTACCTGATCGTTATATTTGTGATCTGGCTGACGGATCTGTTCACTTGCTTCAGAAAGAACTTGCTGTCCTGACTGGCCATCTTCTGCCGATATTCCCTGTTTTGACAGAGGACACTTCACCTCCATGCCTTTTATGAATTGCCCATCTTTCCTTACCAGTCCACTGAAGCTCCCAGCCAGGGTCGCTGCATTGACAAGATCAGTCCAACCTCATCACAGTAGGCCCACAGTAAGGGAATTCTTATTCTATGTCTACTGCAGTAGCCTTATTATGGTTACCATATTCAGTTACTGCAGTAGAGAGGCTGTTGTACAGCATCGCTCTTATTTTGTTGGAGTGCTCTACTGAACACGAAATGGCTGCCTTGAAATTAGCTGTCAATTTTGTCTTTCGTTCTTCCATCCACATGGGACTGGTAGACTGTCCTCTTGTTTGCTGTTCTATGTTGATCTGTTCTGCTTTTGTTAGTGTAGTTGCATTCATGTAGGCGTCCATCATCTCTGTAAATGCTTTGTTGGAAAAGTCATAGTGGAACGCTTAAAGTTTTCTAGTTGTAGGTTGCATGACAAATGGATTTCATCTGGAACTTTGTTCCTTGAAATATGTATACAGGAAAATATCACAATTCATGTTGACAGTACAATGAATAGTAACATGGAGATTGTACGCACAATACGTTTTTAAAAACATCTTGCCCCTACCTCTAAATTCGCGGCCATCCATTTACTGGTACTCAGACAAACCCCAAGTGAGCCTCGCAGGGCCACGCCACCGAATATCGACCTCAGACGGGATGTACACAAGTGCCGCCAGAAAGTAGTACGTGACAAGGACGAAGCATCTAGTATATTAGGGTTCACCGTCAAACTATTGGCGTTATTTTCAGACTGTTACATTTGTCTTGTAAAACAAAATTATAATTGTTTGTTTTACGTCAACTAGTCCCATTGCCATACAGCTTAATCCCGTGGCGGATGGATATAGGCAGAATTTCTAGTCGAAAACCGTCCCACCCAGCTTCAGTTGGAGAGGAAAGACGGTGGTGAGAGGTGAGTGCAGCATTTTCATGCCTTTTTGTGTGTTAAGTCGTCGCTTCTGTGCTTGTCAGCTTACGTAGAATGAATCTGTAAGATGTTACGATTACTCGTATGTAATATCGACAAGTTCTAGTGGAGGAAAATCGATTGATTCTGCCGTTTACTTGAGCCACGCCGTGTTGTGTACGGCAGTGTGTGGAATGTGTCTCGTCACTAATAATCAGTTTGTCACAAATCTGTATTGTTCTAGAAAACGTCCTGTGCTATACTGACACGACAATGTGTCCGACTTTAACTGTTTTGGACAAAACTGGCCAAAAATTTTGTGAAAGGTTGGCAGAGGCTGACATCTGTGATGGATTATCTTGTTTACGTGTTGGCGAGAACTGTGTTCTCAATGTTATCTGGGAACCCATTCTTATTCATGTTTATTCAAGCCAAGAATAAGATATTGTTGCAGTGTAGAATATATTGTCAAAACTGTGACACGGCTGAGCTGCTCCTGTCTCTATCAAACATTTATTCGCCCCTACCGTTGACCCATTAAGAACCTAATTGACCAATTTCTGCCGTGTTCTTGGTCGGCACCGATGTTCTCCAAGTACTACTGTTCTTATCCTTGTTCTTTATCTTCATGTTTCTACTACAGCATCTCCTGAGAGGAACATCAAATATCCTGGATTGCGAGGACCATCCCATCAAGAACACCAACAGTCGTTCTGAAAAGTCTATTGTGGTCGTTATAACAAGCAAGTTGCAACAGCCGAGTCGTATGTGAACAATGGTGACAGAGCAGCTATTACTTAACTTATTGATTGGCGTATGACAGTAGGTACATCCAGCTAACTCAGGCTCGTTAGGGTTAGGTCTATTCTTACAGCTGCCCAGCCTCTTGGAAACCCAGACTTCAGGGACTGTGCCTCTATCAGGCTCAGTGGGGGCTGGTCCAGCTTAGATGAGTTAGCTGGATGTTACAGCCATTTGTGATTGTTAGTTGGTTTTTGTTCACGTTGCCAGAGTTCGATCCCATATTCTCGCCACCGTAGATAGTTACTCCCATCTTGAAGAACTTGAAACCGCTAAGTGTTGCTCGTGTGGGTACTCACATTACACTGCTCTTCAGGAAGAGTCGGTATTTGACAGGACACGGCAAACACCTTTCTGGGGACACACCTTGTACAAGGCCTCTTTTAGCTTCCTCAGCCGACTTGATTCCCACTGTAGCCGCCTCACTGTAAAGATATGGGTTTCCTGCTCGTCTTCTCCACTCGACTCTGACGACTGATACTCCATAGCCAGGATTTCTCCTGATGTGGCTTTCCTCGTCTACCTCGGCGGGGATGTAGTTTTGTTGGTAGAAACGAAGAATGTCCTCCAACGAAGAATGTCCAACATGTCCCTGCTGAGGTTCTTGTTCTAAAACTGGAGACCAATCCATGTCTGTAACAGACAAGTTTTAAAGCTGTAGTGGTTTTAACTGCCTCCAATAAATAATTCATGTGTACACATCTAGAATTTATAATCTACAGTGGTGACAAGGATACATTTCCAAGTTAAAAACTCCATAATTGTCTTCGTCAGAAGGACTATGAAATTGTCTCGCCGGAGTGTGGGGAACTGCGGATTTTGCGATATAACTCTGGAAGGCATGATTTTCGTCCATGATTTTTGGCAGGCAGATTACCGCTGTTAAGGCCGAAGTCAAGTACAAGTTTTGGCTTCGTGGGGGGTCTGTGCGTTACGTTAGTGCACCTTTTGTGTTTGTGGCTTGTTAGCAAGATAACTCAAGTATTTGTAAAATGTTGATTATAATTCTTGGTGTGGTGCTTACTATTGTCGGGACCAAGGTTAAGTTCGTTACTGAGCTTCGTGGGGGGTTTCGTTGTGACTAAAGGGGGCATTTTGTTAATTTTTCTTGTGAGCAGGATAACTTTTGTATGTATGGATAGAAGTTAATGAAATTTGATAGGGATATTACTGTCGTGGTCTCCAAGATTGAGTTCAAAGATGAGAGTCGTGGAGGTCGTTATGTCCCCGTAATAGGACCTTTTGTGTTTAGAAATCCCCCACCTACATCTGCTTGGAGACAGCCGACAGTTGGATATAGCGGGGAACCCCATAATGGGATGGGATCAAATGACGTTACATTGAGGGATTGTACTATAACTTCAGCAGGGGGAGGATAGGTTGGACATATGTCAGGTTATTTTCTACGGCCACACCAAGTAATTGCTATCGATGACGTCCACTGGAGACCTTAAATCTAATTACCTTAAATTTAAGGCAAGCGCGCAATAAAAACACGAATGGCCGAAAAACGAGATGCCTAGATTTGGAATATACTAACTGTAGAAGTACAAATGTTAGGACACAAAGAACACAAGAAACAAGTCTTCTATTTGTCATAAAGACAAATTAACAAAACAGCAGTAGTCACCCTGTTCTGATTCTTTCCTTTATAACATCTTCTCTTATTATACTTTGCGGCGCTGTCGTGACACTTTCAACACAGTAAGAATTTCTTGAACGTTTTTTTCCAGTAACAGTCCAACTCAAATAACGTAGGGGGGGGGCTAACACGGGTGACGACGCATCTGTATAATCTGCGGCAAACCGTCTCAGGGTGTTCTGTACCATAAAAATAGTACAGAGATTCTTTTGTTCTTTAGACCAAATTGATTATTAAAAAGATTAAAGAATACGCATGTTAATTTCTCTAGAACGATGTACCTCTGACGAAGACATGAGATCTCCGACCTCTAGTTACATTGACTGAAAATAGAGGATTATGGTGGTTATGGAGGCCTTAATGAAAGCTTTATTTTTCCAAGTATCAAGTATGACATTTTAAATAATTAGAATTGGTTTGTTGACAGTAATAAATAGCAGACATCTACCTGTTCTGAAGGTTGTACTCTGGAGTATCGATGTGGAATCTGCTTCACAGTCGTCCCTTTGATGCAGCTGAGGGCTCCGCTACCTCCCAATGAAGTAAAATGTGACGTACGCAGTTTTCATACCTCCAGGCTTTTGCTCGGCTGTACA